CGTGCATCGATGCCGAAGGAGCTCATACAAAGTACTAACACCATAATAAATGTTATAGCCATACTATTTGGCTTTAAAAAAAAAAAAATTTTTTTTAAATTTTTAATAAAGTACATTTTTTATTCATAAAAAATTACGCGCCATTACTTTCGCCGGGGACTGTAGTTATGAAAAATCCATTAAATACGTTAAAGCGAGATAAAATAATTATAGAAGAATTTGGTTTTGAAAATTTATCTGTTAAACCCCTAAATCAAGGTCTGCTAAACTGAGACTCACTGTGTATATTTTATCATCAATCTCAATTAATGTAAATTATCAAATATTTAAATAAACCTTTTTCACTTTATTAACATGAATGTTATTAAAAAAAAATACCACCAATTATTACAAGTATACCAATATATAATTATTTTAATTATAAGATAAATTCTAACATTTATTTTTTAATACGGCGTTTACTGACTGGTTTGGCAATTGGTCTACCTGAAACTGGTTGAGTGTTTAGCACTAAAGAATTACCACTAACATCACCACTATCAACAAAGTTGAAAAATGGCATTTGTGAATCATTATTAGAGAAATTATTAATTGGACTCTGAAATATATTATTATTGATATTGCTGCTACTTTGACCCCCACCAAAAGAATTTTGTTGCTGTTGTTGATGTTGCAATGAAAATGGATTGTTAAATATAAAAGTTGAAGATGTATCAGGCGAATAAAGTTGAATAGGTTGTGTTTTTGGAACCTCTAAATCAAATTTAAATGAAGAACCTCCATTATTAGCACCACCACCGCCAATATCAACAGGTTGGATCATATTTGATTCATTATGACTTGATACCAGATCAGTTTTACGATTAGTTCGAATGCTTTGAGCAAAATTTACAGAACTTTTTAGTCTTCTATTATTATTATTGCTATTATTGCTAAAGGAACCATCACCAGCTGACATACTCCACAATGATTGATCAAAATTTTGAAATTTGCTTGCGTCAAATGATGACACAAATAATGATGATGATGGCATTGGTGTTGGTGTTGGTGGGTTAGATAAAGTTGGCAAAGAGTTGAATTGCCATGGAGATATTTGCGATGATGCAGCAGGGGAAGTGGTAGTAGTATCTGCTGCCACAGTGAGAGAAGCGGAAGAGCCTACATCAATATCCATTGAATCAGAATGTGAACTTATATCCAAAGATGTTGGAGATGATGACTGTTGTGTAATAAATGAAGTAGAAGATAATGGTTTTGTTAAAGGCGTTTGCATAGTCTCTTTATTATTTTCAATCTGACTATCTTCCTTTTTATTTTTGTTTGTTGTTTCTTTTTCATTATAATCTACTAAATCAGCAGGTTTTACCAATGGATTGATAATAAATGCTGGTGATGTTAGATTAGGCTTTGTGTTGAACAAGCTATTTGTGTTTAGATCTATTGATGTTTGGTCTTCATTTAGTTTTGGTGAAGAAAACTTTGATCCAAAAACATTATTTACTGGAGAAGATTTGACAGCCTCTTTAGGCACAATAAATTTGGTGATGGAAACAAGAGCAGCCGATGATGGTGTTGTTGAAATTGGTTTAGCAGATTTATCATCAGTTACAATATTTGAAGCAGTATCCCTAGTACTGGTGGTAGTAATGTTGGCAGTAGGAGCAGATACTTTTGCTTCTTCTGTTTGTAAAATTGTATTATTAGCATTATTAAGATCAAAAGAAGGGACCGAAAATGGATTATTAGTTACACTTGATACTAAAGGAATTGAATTCACATCTTTGATAATAAGATTATCATCAATAGGTTCTGTTGTTTTAAGACTGTTGTCAATTCCATAGTTATTGTTGTTGTTGTTATTAATGTTATTATGATCCTCAAAAAAATTGTTAGAGATATTTGAGGTTGGTTTAGAATTGTGATTATTATTATTGATGATCTTATTGTTTGTTGAAAATGGAATTGAGAAATCATTTTTTAGTTTTGGTATTTCATTATCTAATTGTTTACTATCATCATTATTTTTTGAAGCAAGTGAATTATTTGTAGATAATATGCCTGATTTAACATTGTTAACACCAACATTATTAACATTGTCATTGTTAATATTGTCATTGGTAATAATCATATTTGAACTATCTAATTCCTTCGATGTTGATGATGATGTTGATGTTATTGGTTTTTGAATGATGATATTCTCGACTTCTTTTTCTTCTTTTTGTTTTGTTATTATTGAAAAATCATATTGTAAATAATTTGTTGGATCAGGCTTTTGAACAGGCGAAGATGATATAATAGTCCTACCACTACTGCTACTAACATTATTACCAATAGTTGATGATGATGACATTGCCCCATTATTAGTTAATGAAAGATTATAATTATCTATATCATATAAAATTTTAGGATCAATTTTTATAGGATTTCTAACAAAATCAATTTTCACTTGATTTAATTGTTCATATTTAAATCTCTTAGAAACTGGTGGTTTCACAAGAATTTTCTTTATTTGATCAACATTACTCTCATATAATATAGATGAATTAGATTTTGGATTTTGATCTTGCAAATGAGCGAAATTCTTAAAACCTAAAGGTTTGATTTTATTACTTGGACTCAATGATGATGGTGAGGGTGGAATAACTTCAGAAAGTCTTTTTTTGCCAGATAAAAAGTCTGTTTCAGCAGCAATATCTTTTTCTCTTGCCGAGTACGAATAGCCTCTTTTTTTATGAACGATTGGAAGGCTTTCCATTAACAATTTTTCCTCGATACGAGCACTAGAATCAGTTTCTACCAAGTCACGATTTCCATGAAGACGAGGTTTTGAAGGATCTCGACAATTTTTTGATAATTGTTCAATGTTTACCTTTCCTTTTAAAGAGGGCCATTTAATATTGTTAGTATTATCGTTGTTGTTATTGATGATATTACGATTATCATCGTCAGTATTGATAATATTGTTGTTGTTGTTGTTGTTGTTGTTGTTGTTGTTGTTGTTGTTGTTGTTGTTGTTGTTGTTGTTGTTGTTGTTGTTTGTAACTGTTTGTCCAATATTAAAATTATTATTACCATTACTATTATCGTTATTATTATTCCTTTCTGCTCTTTCTGATGCAAATAATCTAGTAAAGTAATTATTTATATTACCAAATATTCTATGAATGTAAATCGAAATATTATCTAGAGAGATACTAGTAGTTGCAGAAGGAGTAGCGGCATCTCTGTCATAAGGTGTTCTTAGGTGAATCCGATTTCTACGAAATCTTATAGGTCCAGCAGATGAGAATTCTAACCTTGGATCGATTTCAAGAACATTATTTAAAAAATTATTGTTATCATTATTATTGTCATGATTATTGTTACTATTATTTATTATTGACTCCATATGTATATATATAATTCTATTTCTATGAAATGACGACGAAAAAATGAAATGTTTGTATGTCACGTTGTCGTGGGCTCAAAGTTACACGAGTTTAATTATACGAAAAGTGTCCATGGTAGAGAGAATCTGTTATTATAGACAGTAATTATTATGCTTAAATTTTCCCAATCTGTTGTAGAGCAAGCTCTGTTATAGAGAGATCGGCTATTATTATATATTAATATTAATAGAGAGTGAACAAATGGTATGTTGAAATACATTTATTCAAATGTACATATTTATTAATATACATCTACAAATTCTATATCTATCTAATATATAAAAATTTATTTATTTAGTAAAATACAAATTTCATTAATGAAGTAAATAATCAAACATTTTATTAACTTGGTGTTGTCAAGGTAGTTGTGGTTGTATTATTTATTATTTCATTATTTAATTTTTTAGATAAAAAACTCAATTAATTGAAACATCTTTTTTTTTTTTTTAGCATTTAGGTCATATATTTTATTTTAACATTTAGGTGAATATATTTTATCATTTTAACATTTAGGCGAATATATTCTTTTCCATGTTAATTTGCATATTCAATGGTTGATTTGTCAAGTTAATAATTATTAGGCATTATTTATTATTTTATTATTTTAATTTTTAGATAAGCAAACATTAAAATGAAAGTCCAACATTTAGGTGAAACATTCTTTTCCATGCTAACTTGTATATTCAATGATTGACTTGTGGTTGTTTGGTCTACAGTAAAATGATGAATTATTGTTATACAACCAAAGAAAAAAAATTCAATATCAATATCAACATCAACTAATGGGTAATAACACAATTATCTATTGTTTATTGTATAAATTCTAAATTGTAATTCATAAATAAATAACTACTTGCTATACAAAAAAAAATTTTTGATAATTTTATTTTATTCAAAATCAATTTTTACGTGATGTCTTGGTGGCAATTTTTAACCAATCAAATGTGATCAAATATCACTCTAATGATGGTGGCCGAAACTAACCCATAGCTTAAGCAATTAGGCAATTTTGGTTTAGGCCTAATTTCACCCTTGAAAACTTTCTGGTGAAATTAGCGAAACTTAAAAATTGCCTAAACTGTGGGCAAAACTCCTAAACTGTTAATATTAATGTTTAAATTTCTAACTATGCATGTCATGACCTGGACTGTTAAATAAACTTTCACTTGTCAATGTCCAACTATAACTTTGCCTGTTTAGTTTTTGCTTTTTAATGGTGGTGGAAACAAACTAGCCATGTTAAGAAAAAAAGGAAATGTGTTAAAATTAAATTAATACTTTTATTATATAATTCTTGTGTAAGGGCGCTGACATATATTAGCTAATATTTTAGGGAGTGGGGGGATAACAGAAAATCTTAGGTCACACAATCTCATAAATAACGTGATCATAATGGCTTCAGTGAAAAATCTGCATTTTTATAACTTTGAATGTAAGTGTTTCAATTTAGGAATGATCTACATGCAAACCAATTGTCATTTACAAAAAAATTGTATTACACTTTTTGTCTACAGGATGATATGGCAATTAATTCTCACATTCTCATATACATAAATGCTATAATTAATCATTCTTTATCTGATATACATTTCCTTAAATATATTTTGTCAAAAAGAGGACACTTTTGTTGTGATTGAGAAGAGAGAAATCATCAAGAATCCTTGAGTTTTGTTCTTTAGATTTTCCTTTAGCAGGATTCATTGTTTGTAATTTTCAATTAAGTAAGAGTTATTACACTCAGAACCAAATAGGTTGTTTTGTCAAAGAAATAGCCAATGCAAATTATACCAGGAATTCCAAGAGATCATAATATATTATAAAGGAAAATTTTTTTACTCCAATGTTGCTTTTAAAATGTATGATTTATTAATAAAATTAATTCTTTTTTTTGCTTGTGCTTTGTTGATACCTAAAAAGGCAGATGATTGTCATACACGTGATCAAAATGTCTTACCTGGGGGTGGGAGAGTAAGCACTACTATTAAAATGATATTAGCCAATATATGTCAGTGCCTTTACCACCTAATTAATTCCTTGATTTTTATTTCTTTTTTCCTAACAGATAGGCAAAAACTCCTATCATCAACACTATCATTCCTCCTAATAATAAATAAGGTAAATAATTAGTTGAGTTGGTTGGTTGTAATTGTTCTTTCTTTTCCTCGACAACTATTTGACTAAGTTCTGATTGGGACAAAGAGGTTTTATTATTGCTTTTTAAATAATTAAAGAATTGTTGCTGTGAGATAGTAAATCTTGGACCTATCAATTACCCGGTTAATATTGACCAATTAGAACGAACTTACTACGGAAGTCATGTGATGCGTTAAATATTATTTATATTATTGTAACGGCTACGCCGCACATTGCGCAGTGTCATATGAAAGACTATTCCTATTCATATTTCTATATTTATATTTATTAACCTTCTCATCTGATGTAAAATATTTATTTAGAATTAGTAATTAGTTGATAAGCATATTATTGGAGAGTAGAATAGCACATATCACATTATTTGTACTGCTCCAAGAGGTATAAATACACTTGGCTTTAGACCAAGTTAATATAATAATTAATAAATCAATTGTTAATGTTGTTAATAACAACAACAACATAATAATAACTCTTAATAAATATATAACCTTACATAAAATAGTCTTTGATTGTAAGTAACTAATAAACCCAGTGTGGTTGACCCCCCAGCCCTTCTAATGGTTAATGGTCTGGCCAACCTTTAATTATTAGTTGGGAACCCTTTTAATTATTCAGATACATCTCAAGGGGACGCCTTTGGGATATAATCATTTACATAGAACCTAGGGACCCTTTTATCCAGGAAGATAAAAGTTATTTTTATTATTAATCTTTGACCATAAGTCAGCGAGTAGGCTGTGTGTCATATATATATAGTTAAAGGAAACTTGACTGTAAGTCAGCGAGTAGGCTGTGTGTCAAACAATAGAATCAACCATAAGTCAGCGAGTAGGCTGTGTGTTGAGCTATAAATAACCTATTAATTGGGAAACTCGGATTGCACGCTCGCAACGTAATGAACATGGAAGCATCAGGAGGTTCCCTTCAACAGGATCAGAAACATGCTCTTAATGATTCAGGCAAAATATCTAACACTGGTGTGGATATTCCCCTTATGAGTCTCTGAAAGTACCTTGGTGCTAATATTGAGACTGCAAAGAAACTAAAAACATATAGTATACAAATTATTGGTATGGAAATTGTTTTCTTATAATATATATTGACATTAATATGATAACAATTTTTGTTGTCCTTGTAGAAGACCAAATCACGCTAATAGAAGTATCACTTTACAAACTGCGAATCTGCAAGGAAGTTGAGGCCCAAGTGCCATCTTTCCATTTGCATTGTCTTCCATAGGAGAATATATGGGGGCTTTTCAATAGAAACAGACCATGTTGTGAAAAAAGCAATTTTGAGTTAATACCATTGCTATATGTAACTCCTCATGTAGAACGTTTTCAGCTTAGAAACTATACTCACTTTGCATAGTAAAATATCAAGATGTTGTTCTTTAAAGTTTCAAAAACGATAGTAAACCCTTAAAATGCAGATCTTTTTTTTGATCTCCTCAAAACATCATTTTCACAACATGGTCCGTTGGGGTGTTAAATATTAGTATAATCACAAATATAGGGGAAACCAAATAATAAAATGCAGATCAAATTTTTACTAAAAAAAATTTCTTTTGTATACTAATATCAATTTTAATAAAGTTTCTTAAAAATTTTATAACTCTGGAAACAGAATAGCCACAGAAAAAATCCAAAATTATTATTACTCCTGAGAAACTTATCTACAATGTAACAATGCAAATTTTTGTGTTTGCAATAAATTTTTAGAAATTGTGTTAATAAACATCTAGAATTTTGACAAAAATTACATTTAGTAATATGCAAGCACATCAATGTTACAAGTATTTGCAAAAAAATAGCATTGTTACGTTGTAAACACATATTTTGGAATACAAAACACTTTTCAGAATTGGAAAACCCCATCTGTATGTTGAGTTATAAAAATTTCTGTAAAGGTGATTTTTCTTAATTGATAAATAGTAATTTCGCATTTTTTAATTATTATAAAAATGATCAACAAAAATCTTTACTACTTGATTTTATTATTTTATTTTCCCTATGTTTGTGACTATACTAATATCTAACACCCCAATGGTCCGTTTCTATTGAAAAGCCCCCATATGTGTGTTTTTGAGCTTATATCATATTATGTGGTATGTTTATTTTGTTTATATTGCGAGCGTGCAATCCGAGTTTCCTATTTAATAGGTTATTTATAGCTCAACACACAGCCTCCTCGCTGACTTACGGTTGATTCTATTGTTTGACACACAGCCTA